CCTCATCACTTCCGTCCACCTGTAGTTGAAACGATGCGCAGGTAGGTAAAAAAGGAGGTTGCTTCTTTCAGATTTCTCTCACGCTGATTGCTGTCTGCTGTTGGCCAGGAATCTTCATCACCTCTGTTTTCCCAATGTTCACCTGAAGTCCTATCTTCTCTGGATGCTTCTTCTGCCAACTTGTTGCTTTTCGCTTGCATATCTTCCAGATTGTGGGACAGACATTTACCTCATCAGCGAAGTCCAGATCGTCCAAGCTTTTTTGTGTGGATTCATTTTATGCCTGTTTCCTCGCTTACTGCCTCTGTCTGTCGCATTATCCAGTCTACCGCAATCAGGAAAATCATTGGAAATAGTAGGCAGGTAGCCAGCTTGTCTTACTCCGTTTTATTTTCATTACGTTTAAAATATAAGCGAATAAGGGGAAATGACTTCTGGTGGTATGGAGTTAGAATTTTTAAAAACGATGGTACTCACTTTTTGAAAGGGCACTTAACAAGCTAACTAATCAGTCTAATGAACACTTTAAATAACCCTAAGGATTTCGTGTTACTTATAGTTGATAATGGTTGATTGTAGGATATTTTTTTTCCTGAGATTTTGAAGTTACTGTAGCAACTAGATTAAGATTGCTAGCTAAGCACGCCACCCCCACTACCAAACTTCTTTCTTTCTCTGACTATTAAACTAGAAAGCTGAAAAGGAAACAACGAGTCAAGTATTTGCCAGAGGGTGAAATGCAGACCACCCGATGGGGGAGGGGTAAAAATTGAAAACTTGTAAGCAATCGTAGTACTAGCCAATAAAAGACATTAAAGAATGGGATGAAAGCGAGAGGCGTCATTCTGAAGCTCTGTGTTCCAATCCAGAGGGTTCAGATTGATGATGGCCAACACAGAGATCTCTGGGAGCGAACCAACCAGGAACCGATTATGAAACAAAATAGGCAGGAAGAAATGGAGATGGATTGGTCATACTCATAGGAAACCATCAAGTGAGTGACATCACTAGACAAGCCATTGCTCGAGTGGAACCCGAAAGGGAAGCGGCGAGTTGGTCGTCAGTGCAAGGGTGACTTGGAGGAGGTCATGTGAAGAGGAGATGAAGGCGTGTGGGCAGACTTGGAGCCAGGTGCAAACGTTAGCAGAGAATCGAACGCAACGGAGACGCACGGCTGAAGCCCTATGCTCCTCTAGGAATTAAAGGGAAGAATAATAATAATAACACCGAGGGATTCGAACTCAGAACCCATTACAGAAAAATGTCAACACAAACTAAACATTTCACATTTCAATATAATCATAATTAATGGGGAATTCGAAATCACAAATTTTCACAACTCCATTAAAATATCCGTTTTCTTAAAAACTACAGTGTATCTTAGTGATAACATTAGTGAAATTAACAACAGAACACCATCTGAAGAATACAGTAAAAGCAGAACATTCATTGCAGTAGAGGTGGACCTTCTCTTCACTAACATTTCAATTTCATGTTCTGCAAATAAAGCTTTCTATCGAATTCCGCCTCCTGCATATGTGTATACACCAGTTTGACTACTCCCATGGAACTAATCACATATTGGATGTACAATTAGGAGGTATGCTCATCCTCAAACTTCTCAGCATCATCCTTCATAACTAAGCAAGCAACAAACAGTCTATTCATAGCGGTGTATGTGTATGTTAGCACCATGCTGCTAATTTGTTATAACCAAACTGAATTGAATTGAATAGAACCGTTGTTACTCTGTTATGTCTGCGCTTGTCTAATACTGTAACGACAGAAGACAACGGCCAGGCAACAGATCGTTTATTGAGAATATCAACAGATATTTATAGATTTTTATGTATATTATTGCTAGCATTATCGTTAGCAGAGAAGTAATATCTTCCGATTGGTTGTTTTCTCGCTGAAGGTCATTCCGTTATCTCTTTGTGGTCATTTCTTAGAAAGTCAGGCCATAAATCTGCGAATCGTATTTGCATACGTTAAGTCTGCTGTGATTGGGTAGTGAGTTTCTCAAGGTTAAGCTTTGTTATTGCTTTTTTTCTCATGACGCCTATTCGGGACGCAAACATCGACGTAAATTGTTGTTCACAATTTGGGCTGTTTCGATAGCCAAGGACCTCAGAGCAATACAGATGAGTTGGATACGTAATGATTTAGGCAAATTATTTTCCACTTTGTAGATGAGTTTAAAGGCGGAAGCTGTAGAGATCATTGGGTGATCAATATCGACCAGATGTTCAGTGATTGCGCTTCTGATAGCTCCAATTCCACCTCTGTGTAACTACCATGCAGGATAGTGTAATTGCATCCTCTTGGAAAAAAAAACTCGAGTCGAACGATCGATATACCTAGCTGCACATGAGCAGATGAATTGATAAACGCCTAAATCACTACGTATCCGACTCATCTGTTGCATTGCCGAAGCGTTCAAGACGACCTTGAAGCAGTCAATCAGATTCTTCAAGGTCGTCAGAAGTTGGTGTCTATTCTTTACTGTTACCAGTTAGACATACATTGAGGAGACTGTTGGGAGGTAACACGTGCCAGCCCGTCAAGTGGAATGGAAAGCAACAGGTCGAGCGTAGGTTCGATGGAGATATGGAGGAGATTGTGTCAGGAAGAAATGAAAAATTATGGGCAGTCGTGAAGTCAGTTAAAAAAGAGACTGCAGCGAAATGAGCAAAATGGAGATGCCCTGATGAAGCCACACATATTCCTTCCATTCAGAACTCTATCAAGGAAGCATTTTCTTTCTATATATGATCTATAATAAAACGCACAACTACAAAAAAATATCAGGTGAAATTTTTGAAAATAATTGCTTAAAACCTGCATTTTTTGGCATATCAGTTTTTCCAACAAAATGTCTATTCAGAAACTTAAAAAACACAAGTACGAGGTGTTACTCAGTTATCCGGAACAAACCTATCATGAATCAGGGTATAAGGACAGTTTCTGACACTACTCAATTTTACTGTTATTAATCCCTTATATATATATATACATATATATATGTACCAAGGAAAATCTAAGACAGGAAGTGATACATGTAAGAGAAACCTTGAAACTTAATAATTACCCTGATAAATTAGTCAGGAAATATGTAGGGAAATGTAAAAATAAAATAAATACATGCATGTCAAACCTGCACAAGAATAATGACAACACCAACAATAAGGAATCTAAGTCATCAGTAGTAATTCCATACAAGGAAGGAACCTCGGAAACCTTACGCAGAATTCTTAACAAGGCAGGCAGGAAAAAAAGCGGCTGGCACTCAAACCACCCACAAACTCAATTAGAAACAAGCTTTGTCGGCTAAAGGATCCTGCCAGTGAAGCCTTAAAAGCAAAACAATTTAGTTTATCTAATATTCTGCCTGCAATGATTATCAGGTCAAATACATTGGACAAAGTAGTAGAACAGGTGCAGTCAGACTAGCCGATTATAAAAACCTAGCAGCAAAATCTAGATTGGTTGACCCGAATAAGATAAGAAATCTAGAGAATAGTTCAGCTATAGCACTTACTACATGCAATCACACACAACCATACAATAGGATGGGATAGGATGAAAGTGATAAAAATCTAATGTAGCAGCAGGGTGCAGATAGAGATTGATAAATGAAGCTTTGTTTATCGAATCAACTGCAAATACATGTAATAGGAATGATTCAACACCTGTTCCCAGATATATGGAAAATTATACTACCCCAACGACGACAAATAGGAAAGGACAAAGCTAACTACAAAACTCAAGTTTCGAAGTCGTTTGATTATAACTGATATGATTATGAACAGTAATAAATACTGTTCGAAACCTTGTCATCCAGTAAATATTACTGTTTCACTGAGTGATACATCTGTGGTGAGAGCTGGCTGCTAGCCAAAGTTGGTGGATAGTAATTGATGTCATTGTTTATGTCCCCAATATTGGTGGTGAGAAAATGAGAACAAAGGCTTTGCGTAGGCGGATACAACAGTTAGCATATGGATGATCTAATACAGCCACAAAGAGATGCAAGTTTAACTTTCTGTGAGAAACAACCAATCAAAAGACTGTATTTTCTACTAACAATAATCTACAATAATGTACATTAAAATCTATAAATATGTGTTGATTTTCCTTAATAAACGATCTGTTGCCTGACCCTTGTCTTCTGTTGTTACACATCTAATAAACAAAATAATATGGAATCCCTTAAGTTCCCAGTAGGATATAGCACGTCACCAGAGACATCTCTCCATCTCACACTGTTCTCTCTGGTCATTTTTAACCGGCTCCGTAACTGCCTATAAACTTTCCCTTCTTCCTCACATGATCTCCTCCACGTCAACCACGTCGACTACACACACACAACTCCTTGTTTCCCCCTTAAGTTCCACTCGACGGCCTAAAAGGCATGTGACACCACTTGAATGTCTCTTCATCGCCTCTGTCCAAATCATTCCCATTTTCTTCTCTACATATTTGGTTAACTTTATTGGTAGAATTCTTTCCCAGTCATCCCATCTCATGGCATAAAGCGAAGGCAGCAGTTGATGAAAGATTATTGTAGCCTCCTTTTGGAAATGATTTCCATGACGCACATACTAAATCTCTGAACTAGGAAGTTGGCTTATACAATCACTTACTTGGGTTGAATTTTTCTGAAAATCGAGCGCTTACGTCAAGCTGTGTCTTTATTTCATAATAATTCTTGTAAACTCATTCGATTTCTGGTCTTTCTGCCTTAATAACATTATGCCTCGTCCTACTTTATTATGTATCCTTTCCTCTAGAAATTCAACTCAGTGACTATCCTGTCACTTTTTTTCCAGCAGACGTTATATACTACTTATATCTGTAACCCTTAAAAATTAGATCATAATGATGGAAAATAGCATTTACATGATTATCTATAAGGCGAATAATACGAAAACCAAAATGTTTATTGTACATATGAATGAATAATGAATGGGCGCCACAATAAAAAAAAAAATACTCACCTGAATTTGTAAGCAACCACTTCAAGACAAATTGCCAAGGTTTACAGAAAATAGACGGTGGTAAGGGTTTAGAGATGATCGGAAGTCTGCGAATTCTATTCGCTATATGTGCGTATATACAATAAAAAAACAGAGGAAAATAGAGTAAAAATGATTGTCAATCTCTATGCATTGAATTCGTAATTTGCTGCAAGTGACACACATTTCGAGGTAAAATTTCAGTACACAGTTGTGTGTTTTTTATTGGAAACTGAAGTTATTTACAATATGGTAAGATGGAGAAGATTTGTAGCTCAGATGGATGATTTTGATGTACTTGTGTCCTCTCAGCTGGATGGTTTATTCGCGGAGCTTTCATTGACTCCTACTAGACAACATCTTCAGCGCATACTTCAGTTTGTTGAAGTAAGCTTTTAGATTCCTCCATGAGTTCATTAGTCATTTCTCCTGGTGAGTCACTCTAAACTTCGTGATTGGTTGCTTTTGTGTGTTTTCACACCCTCTAGGCTACTTGTATTGGAACTGATTGTTTCCTTGACCTGAACTTTGACTCTTGGTGTATGAGATTTCCTTCTTATCGATTGGTAAATTTTGTCTATGTCGATGTGTCTGTTGACTGATGATTCACTGGAATACCAGGACAGGCTTCTAAAAATTCTTCAGTATTCTTGCTGTTTCCTCGGTTTAATATTTGAACGCTGTCCTAGGGAATTTTTAGAAGGCTGCTTGGTATTCCAGTGAATCGTCAATCAATAGACACATTGACATAGACAAAATTTACCAATCGATAAGAAGGAAATCTCACACACAAAGGTCACAGTTCAAGTCAAGGAAACAATCAGTACCAATACAAGTAGCCTAGAGGGTGTGTAAACACACAAAAACAGCAATCACGTTCAAGGCCAGGTCACCAGGATAGATGACTAATAAATTCATAGAGGAATCTAAAAGCTCACTTCAACAAATTGAAGTATGCGCTGAAGATGTTGTCTAATAGGGGTCAATGAAAGCTTCGCAAATAAACCATCCATCCAGCTCAGAGAACACAACTACATCAAAATCACTCACCTGAGCTACAATTCTCCACCATCACTTTCAATTATATACAGTCTACTGCTTCCTATAAGAAAAATTAGAATGCAATCATTTGCTAATCCAACATAATCTTTGTATCGCAGCAATCTAGTTTAAACTCTTTTATCCAGCAACATGTATGAACTTTTTTCAGCATTTCTTATTGTTTTAATTAAGCCACGTAGGAAGGTTTGACTTCTTGGCTGCTTGGGGTCCTCGGGATGGTAAAAACCAATGAGGGCTGGAGATAGTTGGTGATATGGCTCAAAATCGTTCTCAATGGCTGGTGAAGATGCATCCACTCCTTGTGACTCATAATACCCAATGAAACTATATTGTTCTTCCATATTACTTTCCCTTTTGCCTCATATCTCTGTTTACTGTCTATACTTTGCATTTCTATTAACTCTCTTCTCTGGCTTTGTGTGCTACAAGGAGGGAGTGGCGACTCGAACTGCTGCAGCACACCGGTGCAAAGTTCTATGTTGAAAACAAACAGACAGACAGATTGTTTTAATCATTCAATTATGTATGTCTTTAGATGGCTACATGAATTCGCGCAAATTTCTTTTTAATTGCCTTTCAGTGTAATCGTATGCACTTCTTGGAGGAGTTGAAGGAAAATAGAATATTCTAGAAGATTGGAGGTTGATTCAGATGGAACTACACAATACTTTGACACAGCTGTTGGTTATTGTTTTACTCAAAGCTTCTATACGAAGACTGTGATAATCCCAATAGATAGATAGACAGACAGAATTTTAAGACAGCCTACGTATCATATATGACCTGACCTTGTCTGTCGTGATTATCATGTGATTGTTGGTTGTCTTAACGACCTTGTATGACTTTTGTACTCTATTCTCTTCTATGTATGTGTACATGTTTGTGTGTCAATGTGATTCATTGATCTTTTTGTACCATACGTCAATACTGGTCGAAACACGTAAAGTTTATGTTAAGATGTTACCTGCGTGTTTTAACTAATGGGGCAAAGCTTAGATTCCGCTTCGCGTTGTCCGTATTCATGATGGGAACTAAAGGTCTATGGGTAAATTTAATCATACAGAGTAGTAGTATATAATTTGTAATTTAAAAAACCTGAGAATTCTGTACTGTCATCGGAACGTCTCGAAAAAAAGCCATTATTATTGTGTCAGTTTGTAGGGATTTCAGTGAAGTTCAACCATAGTGTCCCAGGAGTGCGAACGCCCCAATGACCTTGAACGCTTGCTAGTCGTTGGGTAACGACACCTGTCATTATCATAACTAAAATATCAACGCTGTTGACCACCTAAGCAGCAAATTTCACCCAAATCACGTTTTTAAATACTGTTTCGGCAATGTGTTAACTACTCGTTAGGGTAATGATTAGGGTTAAGGTAAGTGTTTGGGCATAAAATGGACTCACACAAAAAACTTGGAGGATCTGGACTTCGCCGATGATAAATGTCTGATTTCCCACAAACTGGAAGATCTGCAAGCGAAAAGCAACAAGTTAGCAGAAGAAGCATCAAAGATAGGACTTCAGGTGAACATACCGAAGACAGAGGTGATGAAGATTCCTGGGCAACACCACCAACAGCTACAACAACAACAGGCAACAATCAGCATAAATGGAAGGATCCTGAAAGAAACAACCTCCTTCACCTACCTACCTGGGAAGCATCCTTTCAACTACAGGCGGAACTGACCAGGATATCAAAGCAGCGAGGATCAGAAAAGCATGACAAGCCTTCACTACTCTCAAGTCTGTGTGGAGGTCAACAACACTCAGCATCAAAAATAAGATCCGGATTTTCAACTCCAATGTGAAGTCAGTCAGTGCTACTATACGGATCAGAGACTTGCACTGCGCGTCATAAAGAGCATCTCAAACAAACTACAGACCTTCATTAACAGTTGTCTTCACTCAATACTCAAGATCAGATGGCCAGAAAAGATCAGCAACAGGGACCTCTGTGGGCGAACCAGCCAGGAACCGATTGTGAAAGAAATAGGTAGGAAGAAATGGAGATGGATTGGCTGGCCATACTCATAGGAAACTATCAAGTGACATCACTAGACAAGCGATTGCTCGAGTGGAACCCGAAAGGGAAGCGGCGAGTTGGTCGTCGGTGCACGGGTGACTTCGAGGAGGTCATGTGAAGAGGAGATGAAAACGTGTGGGCAGACATGGAGCCAGGTGAAGACTCTAGTAGGGAACCGAATGCAATGGAGACGCACGGTTGAAGCCCTATGTTCCTCTAGGAATTAAAGGATACAATAATAATAATAATAATAAGTATTTGGGTTAGGGTTAGGATTAGGGATAGATTTATAGTTGATGTCATTTATTTTAATTTGTTTTATCACGCACATTTTCCTGGTAAGTAGTCGTCGAACCTCTTACTGGAAACCATAGTAAGTCAACCGAGGGCTTTCGGGGAAGACTAAGCAACTGGATAAGAGAGATAAACAATTCACAAAAACAGCTCATCTTTAGTCACCTCGGTGAACAGAAGTACAGAAACCAGTCCAACTTAGCAACTGATACTCCTCGTTATAAATAAAATGTATTTTTAAGTCATGTCAAAGAAAGATAACCTGTTTAATGTGTTTTCAAGCATTTTTTTGTCAATATACATCATTTTTTGCGCAAAAATTCCTCATTTTTATGATTGGTCAGCTGAAGATCACTCGTGCGTTCGCACTCCTGGGACACTATTGTTGAACTCTGCGGGGATTTCATTTGTTTCGAGTTTGACCACAGATCGACATCAGTCGGAGAACTATCAAAAACTATCAGGAAGTGTACTGGACAGCTGTTTCATCCTAGTTTCAGGACTCGTCGGTAGTACGTACTCACAGGACCTTCCAGTTACTAGGAGAGCTAGTAGAAAAAATTCAACAACTGGGACCCAACTCAATGGTCAACCCATGCATTATAAATTCTACCGATTCGTGATTGTAGCTGGACCACTACCAGCCATTGTCATTACTGGAGAATATTTTTCCTCACTACCGCGCCTGCGTGAACCCCAGTGATCACAACTTCTCACTAGAACTCTGGGCAACTTTGTCCTGCAGTCAGCCACTAGAGAGCATTATAATAAGGAAAACATTTATCAGCGAGAGAGAAATACGTCATTCCAAGTAAGCTAGTGGCACTAAGAAAGTGTTCGATCAATACATCATTATTAGGCAAGTGGGGTAATGTTGAAATGTGCCGAATATTGAAAAAGAATTTTGAACGCCACCAGCATTCAAAGGACTGGCTTCCAGCCAGTGAGTTCCGAGTTCGAACCGACCTCTATATACTTCTACCTGGAGGCAACTGAATATCTTGTTAGCAGCACTCACACATAACAACCAGTGCAGCTCATATCTTGGAATGTGAAACACCTATTCAGAGAAATGTCTATCTGTCTCTTTCTGGATTCAACATAGAACTTGTCACCGAAGTGCACCAGTTCCAGTTGCCACCTTCCAAATACCACACAAAGGTAGACAAGAAGATGAGTGATGAAGAGAATCAATAGAGTTTTGACAAGTATAAGAGTGAAACACAATGAGTAATGGTAGAAAGGAATATGAAAGATTACAGAGACTGAATACATCTGCGTAAGCCATTGACAACGATTTTGAGCCATGTCACCTATTGTCTCCAGCCATTGATTCTTAGAGTCCCGAGGGCGGGCCCCAACCCGGAAGTCTGCATCTCCCTACTTGACTCAATTTAACTGTCAAAGATTGATGCCATGTTTTTGTTTGGCCAACACTTACTCTTTTCCAACCTGCACCTATATCAGCTAGTAATGTCCGTCGGGAGAGGCGATGGTTAGGCATGCATAGCACGTGACCTAGCCATCTCAATATATGTAACTCTATAGCCTCGTCGATTGACTTTCCCTCTTTGCCCAACACTACACCTAACGTCAACATTGCTTACCTTATTATACCACCTAACGTGAGAAAGAGATCGTAAACATCTATGATCAAAAACAGTCAACCTTTTCATGTCTTCAACTCGTATTGGCCATGTTTCA